TCACTAGAATAGCTCTCACCACAGCCACTAATTATACCATGTTCTCCAAGTCCAAAGAACACCAGTATTGGTTTGGGTACCAGAAAGCCATTTCTAGCTTCCTCCCTTTTGCCTCCTAGTATAGAAGCTAGAAGAGTAGATTCTCACCTCTCAGCCTCTCTTATACATAAGGGAGACCATCTGATCCATTTCTAGCCAATAAGATGTAAGGGGAAGTCATTATGGGGCTTCTGGGAAACAAGTTTACTTAGAATTTGAGAGAAGGGTTTGCTGGTATCATTCTCCCTTCTTTGCACCCTGAACCACAGATGTTAATGCCTGGAAACGAAGTAGTCATAATGTGGCCATTAAGTGACATGCTTGAGGGCAAACAAATGCTAACAGCACAGTATGAAGAAGATAGAAAAGACCTAGACACAGTTCACTGGAGTCATCAAAATCCAGATTTCCTGATATGGAAGAAAAATAATCTACTTCTTTAAGCCATTGGTTCTATCACTTGCTATTAATTTACATACTTGTCACTTAAAGCAAGAAAGATTCCTAACTAATCTAAATGCTTTTCAGTCATTAGTTTTTAGTTGTCTTCTAGTTGAGCACTTCTTTATATTTTTCCCTTGGTTCCATATATTTTCTACACTCTCCTAGTTTTCTCCCTAGTTCTCTGGTGGCTCTTTTTCAGGCTTCTCTACAAGTACCTACCTCTTCCAAGGCCCATTTCTTTTTTCTTTTTTTTTTTTTCCAAGACCCATTTTTATATGATGGGATTTCTTAGTGCTCCCTATGAAGAGCTCTTTTCTTTTCCTTCTATGTAGCTTCAATTAGCATCTGTAGACTAACAATTCCTAAATCGCCAGCCCAGACCTGTTTTGAATGCAAATATTCAGTTACCTGCAGGCCTCTTAAAGTCATCATTTCCAAAAGTGAACCCAGCTTTACCCCTAAGCCTGGAATCTCCCCTGTCATGGTAAATGGTGCCACCAACATGCATTTAAGAATCCCAGGAGTTAGCCTGGACTCTTGCACATGCTTTACTCCTTTCCCTCCACGTCCAGTGACCAGTCCCTCCAGAGCCTATCTCCGAAATGTCCCTTGAGTACTTTCACTTATGCCCATATTCAGTGCTGTTTTTCTAGATTAGGTCACTTCCACCTCTAACCAAGATGGCTGCTTCAGTCTCCTGACTGGTCACCTTTGATCAGTATCCACTCTTTTGCTAAAGAGACCATTCTGAAGCAATATTTGATCACATCAACAACTCTCCTACTTAAAATCCTTCATCACCTTCTAGTCAAGATAGACAAACTCTTTAACCTGGCTTCATGGCTTCACCCTTTGGCATCAGGTCCTTCCTCCACCCCACTCAGAATCTACACTCCAGCCCCTACTTCAGTTCCTCAGCCCCAGGCAAGCCTTTACATTCTCTCACATTCTTCACATTCTCTCATCCGGGTCTTCATACCTATTATCCTTGCTGCTTATAACATTCTTCTCCATCCTCTTTTTTTTTTTTTAATTAAAAAAAAATCTTATTTATTTATTGGAGGGGAGGGGCAGAGGGATGGAGAGAATCTCAAGCAGACTCTACGCTGAGTGCAGAGCCAGACTCGGGGCTCAGTCCCATGACCCTGACATGACCTGAGCCGAAACCAAGAGTTGGTTGCTCAACCAGCTGAGCCACCAGGTGCCCCACCTCCTCTTTTTCTTGATATTCTTTTCTCATTCTTGAGATCTCTCATTCTACGGGAAGTCTTCCAGCATACTTCTTCGGCATCATTTCTCTGTGCTCCACTAGGACCGTTATTCCCCCATCAGAGGACTTAACGGTATTTTGTATTGTAACTTGTCTAATTTGTCAGTCTTCCTCACCACATTGTAATTCCTCTGTCTCCTTCCCATTTTGTCCTGAGCACCAGTGTGGGAGCTTCACAAGTGTGTGCTGAATGAATACTGAAATTTTCTTCAAGTCTTCCCCATGATCCCTCCCCTTCTCATTCATTTTTGCCGTGTCCTTACTGAAGTTAGGAACGCCATATGGCAGACACTGAGTTGACTGTCCAAAGCCACTCTTCTCTTTGTCTTTATTATCCCAGCTTCTTTACAGGGATACAAACACCCAGCTAAGTACTCGGTCTCCCAGCCTCCCTTATAGCCAGGTGAGCTGTGTGACACACTTCCGGCCAATGACAATTAACCAGAAGTCTTCTGGAGAGGGGTGAGGCAGCTATGTTTTGAAGACAGAAGAACCTAGGTCTGTGTTAACAGCATGGACAAGGTACTGGCCCTGGGCTGCCTCCTTCGAGACTTCTTCTTATGTGAGAAAAATCCCTAAGTAACTTTTGGTTTGGTTTTCTATTTCACATACCAAAGCATTCCTAAATTATATACTTATGGCTTCTTCTCAGCCCTCAGACCTCTTATAGTTTTGGACCCTTCAATGCTTTCAAGGCTTTATCTAGGTCTATGCTGGTGAGACTCAATTCCCTGTCTTGTGAAATGGAACAGTGAAACAAACACATGATTTTGCCATCCACAAGGAATAAAGAGCATTTTGTTAAGTAAAACAGAACAATGGTAATAACCTTACATAATTGCACCAGGCCTAACCTCATTCTCATTTTTTTACCCCCTCCCCAGAAGCCACAGCTTTCATGAATTATATGTGCATCTTTCTAGTTCTTTTTAAAAACGTTTATATATAGTGCTTGCTTCAGCAACACATATACTAAAAATACTTATATGTATACATTTATTTATGCATAATGAAGTATTTGCATGAGTTTATACAATGATTTAATCTATAAATAAGGATGGTTTCATCTCATTTTGGCTAATACTGATGGCTCCTTTTTTTTCTCTTATTGCACTCATTAGGATCACCAAAGCAATCTTAATTAGTGGGAATATAGCAGGCAGTCTGGTCTTAAAACCAACTTTACCAGCAGTCCTTCTAATATTTCACATAAAGATGATGAATTGTTTAAGTCTTACCAGGTTAGGGAAGTTTCTTTTTATTCCTATTTGCTAAGAGCATTCTTCCCCCAGTCATGAGTGGGTATTGAATTTTATTAAGCCCATTCAGTAAATACTTCATTTCAGTTATGGCACATTGTACATTTATTTGACAATAATAGCTATTGACAATATTTTATAAAGTTATTTCCTTGTATGTGTAATGCTTTAGATCATATTTCAAAGTTTTTAACATTTGAAGAGCATTTGTTAAAGCATTTTAAATTTTAGACTGTCATCATTTGGTTGATGTGGTAATCAGTCTCCAGGACTCATTCTGGAAGAATCCGACTGCCATGTCATGAGAGGACTCACACAACCCTCTGTAGAAGCCCTTGTGAACAGGCCACTTGTCAACCATGTGAGTGAGTGTTGTGTTGTGGGCTAACCTGTGCCCCCCCCCACTACACACACAAATTCATATGCTGAAGTCCTAACCCCCAGTACCTCAGAATGCGACCTAATTTAGAGACAGGGTCTTTACAGAGGTAGTGAAGTTAAAATGAAATTAAGGTGAACCTGAATCCAGTATGACTGTTCTTATAAAAAGGGCAAATTTGGATACAGAGACAAGCACAGAGGGAAGACCGTGTAGAAGAGATATGGAGACACATGGAGAGAAAATGCCATCCATCAGCCAAGGAGAAAGACCTAGAATAGATCCACAGAAGGAACCCACCGTGCTGACACCTTGATCTTAGACTTCTAGCCTCCAGAACCGTAGATCTGTAAGTCTGCCTGGTTGAAGCCACACATAGTCTGTGGCTGAAACCTTGTTAGAGCAGCCTGTTCTTGGCTAAACTGCCCCCACCAAATCCATACCATTGAAGTTATAAACATCCGAGTGTGACTGTATTTAGAGACAGACTCTAAAGAACCAATTAAGGTTCCGTGAGGTCTTTAGGGTGGGTCCTAATCCTGTATTACTAGTGTCCTTAAAGAAGAAGAGATTAGGCCACAGACTAGCACACAGCAGAAGATCCTTTGAGGACACAGGGAGAAGACAGCCATCTACGAGTCACAGAGAGAGGCCGCAGAAGAAACCACCCCTGCTGAAAGCGTCATCTGTGACCACGAACCTGTCAGAACCATGAAGAAAGAAATCTCTGTTTAAGCCACCCATCTGCGGTACTTCGTTACAGCAGCCCAAGTCCACTAACCCAGGGAGCCACCTTCCAGGGGATGCTGCGGTCCCCGGCCAGCCTGCAGCTGATTGCCACCTCAGCAGACACCTGGAGCCAAAATCATCCGGCTGAGCTACTCCTAAATTCCTGACCCCCCAGAAATTGGGAATTCAGAATGGTTTGTTTCCGTTTTAAATCACAGTGGGGGACACCTGGGTGGCTCAGTGGGTTAAGCCGCTGCCTTCGGCTCAGGTTATGATCCCAGGGTGCTGGGATCGAGTCCCGCATCGGGCTCCTTGCTCGGCAGGGAGCCTGCTTCTCTCTCAGCCTCTGCCTGCCTCTCTGCCTGCTTGTGTGCTCTCTCTCTCTCTCTCACTCTCTCTCTCTCCTTCTCTCTGACAAATAAATAAAATCTTAAATCAGCAAGCCTTGGGGTAATTTATTAATGTATAATAGATAACAAATGCTGTAGATTCAGAAGAAGTAACTAAGTTAATAATAGTTAATTCTATTTCATTGGTAAGCTTAGGAGAACAGCACATACCCTTCAGAACTCAGTTTCATATATGAACGCCATCTGATTCTGAGGCCCGTCGTTTTAAGGAAATAAACTCTACTCTGCACTCAACTTCAAATTCTAAACAATTTCCAAACATGAGCTTCAGTTTCGGATCCTAATTATAGAGCTGGACAAACCAGAAAACTCAATCCATGTACGTGGGGACAAGCAGAACTCCCTTCTGGCAGCATCCCTCCAGAATGGCATTGCCCCGTCAGCTAAACAAGCGCGGGGGCTACACCAGAACTCTTTCTAAAGGAAAGGAAAGATCAGAGCTCCAAGCTCAGCAGCGCCGCACACGGTACCTTTTGATGGCCACCAGCTCCCCAGATTCGTTACTCTTGCCCATCAGCACACTCCCGTATGTGCCGTCCCCCAGCTGTCTCATGGTTGTGTATCGGTTCATCTTGGAAACACAGTGCAACAGAGGTTGTCGGTTGAAATGTTGAATATAAATGTAAACGCTTTATTTTCGTTTTTTTGTTGTTGTTGTTTCTTCCCCTCAGACTGCTGTTGCTACACCAGTGACAGGTTTGTCATCCTTAGACACAGGCTCTTCCCCAGGATTACAAAGGTTCATGAGATAGAGTGATACGGAATCTGGCAAGGAAACAGTGCTTCCATTCCTATGAACACCCTATTTAAAAAAAAACCAAAAAAACAAAAAAACAAACAACAACAAAAAAAACAGAACAAGAAGAAAGAATTTCATTAAAGAAATTTCATTTCATTGACTGGTAACCTAAGCGCAGGGAAGAACTGTAATATACATACCGGTGGGTTAAACATTTGTCAGTAAGTCCTTTGTGCTATGTGGAATGGGGTTCACATATAACAGACTGATAATGTTCGTTTATGACTGCTTCATTTGCATGGTGCCGTGCTATTTATGCCATTATATTCAGTAAATACAGGCTTAATGATTTGTAGGATTCCTTTTATACTGAATATAATCTGTATTATTCCAAGTCAGACATTGGAGAATCCGACAACTATAATATCCATTCCTTGAATCACTTTTTGCATTACGTTTAATTTGGCCCATGATCCCTTATGTGAAACCCCTGGGCCAGATGTGTTTGGAATCCAGGAATCCGTACATTTTAGAAAAGTAATATGGTGGATATAGCATAGGTCATGTAACACCTCCCAAGCAGCATCTTAATGTAGCTGCAGAAAACTGATGAAAGTCCACAAAGTAAAATAAAATTAAGGAAAGTCCACAAAGTAAAAAATAAACGCTGGCATCACAGCATGCAGTTCATGTTACGTTGCAATGTTGCACAAATTTATTTTAAAATGTTCATTGTTCAGAGCTTTGTGAATTTTGAAACCGCAGATGAGAGACTGTGGGTCCGTATATATTAGAAGGGCACAGGTTTCAGTAGGTCCTGATTGTATTACTGCAGTTGAAGAAAAACAGAACAGAGCGCTGGCTTTCCTGTGTACCCCAATTACGACATTCAGTAGTTTCCTCCCGTTATTCCCTCCTACTTCTGTTTCAAGGCGCTGCTTCTCATTTCATTCTTACATTGCTTTTAAACGTCTCTGTCATTCTGTTACAAGGCCTTATGCTGAGTTCCAGATGGTAACAAAATGCTTGGCACGATTCAAATAATTTGTTTTCAAATGCCTTTTATAATTTGATGCTTCATTCAAAGATTGCTTTGCCTTCACTGTAGTATTGTTTCATTGCCACCAAATAAAATTATAGAAATTGTTTCTCTATTATATGCAGAAATTTCGGACCCACAGGACATCAAAGTACCTATGACTTCCAAAAGCAGGCTTGCAGGAGGAAGAAGCAAAAATGCAAGGAAGGACAATAGAACTATGTTGTTTCCTATTACGGGAATGTGTCCGTCCACAGGAAAGGTGGGAGGAACCTTGTGGGACTTTTAAGGAACAGGGTGGGGGTGTATTAGGGTATTGTTTATTTTACTTCATATAGATAATACCCCCTTGAAAGTCATGTGTGAATTAATTTAGGCTGTGCTAACTGTGGCCAGGATCTTAAAAAAGAGATCACAATAGTAGATTCCATATCTATTTAGGTTTTCTTTTTCAGCTTAAATCTGAGCAACGGATGCCAGCAAATGATTCCCCATTTGCCTGAAAATGGAGTTTTCTGTAAGTGATCTTTACAATATACATACACATGGAATTGAAATATTAAGGCATTTATAGAAAGGAAGTCAACACCCCTTCCCCATGGTTCCTGACCCACACATATATTTGTTTTTCTTAATTTTTTCCTTTATCTGCATAAGGAAATTTATTTTTGAAAGATCTTTTGGGTTTTGTTTTTTTCTTTAGATTTTATTTTTAAACAATCTCTACATCCAACATGGGGCCTGAACTCATGACTCCATGAGGTCACATGCTCTTCCAACTGGGCACCTCTGGGTTGTTTTTTGTACTATGTATTATGATTAAACAAAACACGGACTAAAATGCACTTATCCTTATCGTTTAGAATTTTATTAAATCAATATTTTGCAATTTGTTATCGACGTGTTAAATTGTTTGACCTCTTTTCTAGCTTGTCTCACTTAAGATGGCATACACCTCCCTTTTAAGGAAAAGTGCTGTCTACAGGTTTACTGATCCCTTCTGGTTAAGTTACAATATAGAGAATATATTTGTCCGTAAGGCCACAGTGTTCATCATATCAGTAGGATTGTAATCTATAATATAACGTGTCGATAATCAATCAGAGAATCAATGATGGAGTCAGTCTAGTACTTGCAATAGGTTTGAGGCTGCTTGTTTTTTGTAGGGTAGTCCCCAACTTCTAAAGAACCCATTCTTACTGGCTTTTACAATCACTGATGAAAAAGGAACTGCCCCCCAACCCCCATTTTCCTTCAAAACCATGCAGTCTGCCCCACAATGAAACCTACCCACCCCTACCTCCCCTTAAAGATTCCTAACCCATCTCCTTACCCTAAAATACCAAAACGCTAATGACCAAATGGAAATTGCGACTGGTACTCCTTACGCCTACTAGACCCCGAGGCTGCATCTGGCTCTATACCCAGAAGGACACTATAAAAATAATAGGCCAGAAACAGTGGAGGGGAAGAAAGTAGTGCAGGAGGAAGGGAGGAAGTAGAGCTAAGGCAACTAATTTCTTAATTCAGAAATTCAGTGGGATAATAGCATCATCTTTCCTTTCATGTTGATACCTAACTGAGGACTACCACTGAGGGTCTGATAGGCAGGAAGTAATGTAGGCAATTCTGGAAAAGGACCTTTTGCTTGAGAAGGGAATGAAAGAGGGAGCTGGCCAGATGGGAACCCAAAGGCAGAGGTGAGAGGGTGCAAGAAACAGTCAAACTTTACCTCGCAGTGACTTTGCCTCTAAAAGTAGAATTATCTCTTTATCTTCCACTATTAGGACCCTCAAGCACCACCATCACCAGTATTATCAGCACTACAGATCATGCACTCATTGGTGACTTTCTGCATTGGCCTGGAAACCCAACCACTTTTGGAGAGGAAATTGTAGAAACTTCATGCCAAGCCTAACCAACCACTTTCCAAATAAACCTGGAAACACACTTTGTTTCAAGTGAGGGTGACTACAGCATAGGGTCTACTTATATGCAGGGAAGAATAAACAGGGGACCCAGCCATTTCTCAGCTTGTGTCATTTAAGGGGTGGAGTGATGAAGGTGATGGATATGACAGATTTTAAAAAGGTCTAATTTGGGGCTCTCAGAGAATCTGTCCAGTTTAAGCCTACCTAACCTTTAAGTAAAATAAGTTTACATACTATACTCCCAAACAAAAACCTTAGAGAGGACTCTTTTGAGCCATATTAATTACACAACAGTTTTCCAGGGTTAGAAGCTGACCATTTCAGCTGTCCCTGTATCCTCTTGAAAATATAAAGACAACAGCCTCATGTAAAGAGGCACAGATATCCAGGTGAAGACTTTGTTTATTTTTTAATCATAATTCCCATGTTTCAATTCGCTGATGGCACATAAACAACTACTTTAACCGGTCTGCCATAGCGAACTGCTAAACTAATTACTAGTCCAAAGCAACAGATGTAAGTTAAGAAAACAGAGGCTGCCTACGGGTCCTCAGTTCACACAGAATAATATTTCTCTACAGGTTACATTTATTCTTCTCTGTTGATCTACAGAAGACAAATTATGACGAACAGAGATGTAGTAACATGACCTCTTATGTATGTGAATATTTCCATCTCTACAGCTGACTCTTGAACAACATGGGCTTCAACTGTACAGGTCCTTTTATATGCGGATTTTTTTCCGAACAATACCAGACAGTACTGTAAATGTGTTTTCTCTCTGATTTTCTTAATAACATGTTCTTTTGTCTAGCTTACTTTATTGGAAGAATACAGCACATAATACATATACAGAATATGTGTTAATTAACTGTTTATGCCATCAGTAAGGTGTCTGGTGGACAATGGGCTATTGGGTTTTTGGTGAGTCAAAAATTATACTAGAATTTTTGACCATGTGGAGGTTCACACCCCTAATCCCTGCGTTGTTCAAGGGTCAACTGTCTATTTCCATTTATATGTACATACATGCAACAAGGCAGGACACAAGTAAATGTAATACAACCATGATCTTTAATTTAGCAGAACTGTTAGGAACTTGGAATTTTCTACAATTAACCTACAATATTTAGTGACTCTCCTACGGCTAAACAACATTATAATTTGATTTAAAGAAAAGAGATTTAGAGCCTCAATTACAGACCTACATTAAACAAATACCCTTATACTTTCTCTCCCATTATAGAGCCTCAATTACAGACCTACATTAAACAAATACCCTTATACTTTCTCTCCCATTATAGTTTTCTTGTTTTTATCTAAGTGCACGATTACCATGTATTTAAATGCGCAATTACGGTAAACTTAAGCTGTATTCTCAAGGGCTTCTGCCATCTTAAAGGGATTTAGACAGGATTAAAGAAGATTAACACAGAGGACAAATGGAGGGTAAAACTTGCCTCTGCCAATCACTGAACAGATAGCCTTTGGAACTCTTCAGCTTGTGTTTGCAGATCCTACTGGAACGATATCACTCCAACGCTGGTATTAACGTTTTAAAAAAATAATAACGTTTTAAAAATCACTAAGTTGCTTAAGAGCAAAACAAAAAAAGGTCTCAAAGTCACCAAGACACATGTTTTACGGAAATTGAAAGGAGAGCTTTTAGAGTGGAACAACAAAGACTGCATGTTTAAAAAAATACCGGCATTGTGCTTCGTGCTAACATTCACACATTATTCTGAAACTAAACAAAATAAAAAACCACCCCAATGAAGAGATCAAACAACCTTGCGCAAGGCCAGCTTTGCACAGACAGTTAAGGGGACGCCTTGGGTGGTGGTGGTATGGGGGGGTTCTCCCTTCCCCAGACGCTGCGGTGAATTGGGGGATGGTGGACGTAAAGTCCGAAGCCTGGAGAGTAATTTGTGACTTTGGTTCAAAGAATTTCGTTATCATTAGGACAGATGTCTGCTCTTTCAAAATGATTATTTAAATATAATTAATCTCCTTAAGAACTGAAATTATAAGACCCTAAAATCAGTTTTATTGCTCCCTACTCCCCTGCCCCCTCCAGACTCTG